TGGGGGCGGCTGTGTTTGGGCCCGCGCCCACACAGTGACGCAGGTGCTAAAACAGCGAATGCTATCATGGGGTGTGTTAAGAGGAGTCTGGATCATGGGGAAAAATTATTCCATTCTATTCTGCCCTGGTCAGACTCCACTTGGCTCTCGTGCCCATTTCTGAGCACCATAGTTGAAAAAGGACATTGAAAAATTGGATCTGGAAGAGTCTGGAAATCAAGCCCTTACTTACTTATTAATTTGTCAAATATGCATGGCCACCCATTTCACAAGAAGTGACTCTGGAAGGCATATAATAAAACCTACAATTAAAACATTCTACAAAACCAATTGAAAATAATTAAAAGCAATAAACATGGATAAAACAAGACCACAAGAGGGAACATACGAAGAACAGTGAAAGGATCTAGGTACATTTACCCTGCAAAAGGGAAGACTAGAAGAAAGGGAGAGGATATATGGTAGCAAGTATCTGCAGGTGGTCACACAGAGAAGGGAGTGGTTTTCTGTCACCCCAGAAGGAAGGACCAGAACCAAAGTTAGAAGTATTTTTGTATTTTTATTTGGTATGTGCTTATATCTAAGCATAGTACAAGACCTATTTTCCCCCCCAACAATCCTGTGAAGGTGGTTGGGCTGACAGACAAGGACTGGCCCCAAATCCCCCAGGAAGCTGCTGTGCCTGAAGGTGAAAGAAACCTTGGTCTTCTCATGACTAGTCCAACACCTTCACCACTACCCCACCCTGGGTCACAAGTGGGCTGAATCTCTAAGGAAATAGATAAGGATTAGCTGTTAGAAGCGATTTTCTAATCATGAGAGCTCTCAATCAGTGGAAAAGGTGGTGACCTCCTGCAGGGCATGTCCCCCTTTACTGGAGGTCTGAAATGCTACGGGGGATCCTAGATGGTAGGACTAGATGGTCTCTGGGGTTTCTCCCAATCCTATGATTCTATGAAGAGCTATGGGTTGGGGCTTGGCTGCAACAACAGCTTTTATTTGTGTGAATAGTGTATTGCTTTGGAGTCTAGGGCAGGGTCAGACCCTACTTAGGCTCCTCAGAGCATTCCCCCAGATAGCTACCCAACCTTTGTTTGAAAACCTGCAGTGATGGAGCCCCCACGCTGTCCCACTGCTTCGTAGCTCTCAGAGTCAGGAATTCCTCCTTATTTCAAGCTTGGATCTCTCTCCGAGAAGCTTCCTCCTGTTGGTTCATGTCCTGCCCTCAAGAGCTATGGAGGATAAATCCACACCCTCTTCTCATGGACAACCATTCCAAGATTGGAAGACTGCTATCCAGTTTATCCTCAAGCCTTCTCTCCTTTAGGTTAAGCATGCCCAGTTCCTTTCACTGCTCTTCTCAGGATTCAGCCTCCAAGCCCCTCACCATCTTTGTCATTCTCCTCCGAACTGTCTTTCCAGTTCCTCATCATCCTTTTTGGATTGTGACAACCAGAACCAGACACAGTGTTGCAGGTGCAGTCTGACCAGTGCAGAGAACAGAATGATCACTTCCTTAATTTGGACACTATACTTCTGTTGATGCAGCCCAAAACTGCATTGGCTGTTTTGGCTGCTGCAGCACCTTATGACTCACACTTAATCTGTACAGGACACCCTGTTTCTTCTCACAAGTACTGTTGCTCAACCAAGTACACCTATCTCATACCTGTGCATCTGGTTTTTCCTGCCTATGTGCAGAACTGTATATTTCTCACCACTGACATTTTGTTGGATAGGACCCAATGTTCAAGTCTATCAAGATCCTCTTGAGCCTTGGCTCCATCTTCTGAGGTGTGGCCAGAATAGTACTGCTCTAAAACGGCCACTCAGCTATGTCAAGCTGAAACAGGTTGAAGGACTTTCTTCAGAAGAATCATCACAGTGTTTCTAAACTTCCAGCTCTGTGGCCGGCAAGCCACAGCGGTGACCCTTGGAGTTACGGGAACTGTTTTTCTTTTTAAAGATATCCTTCTGAATCAGAAAAAGCACCCGTTGCTGGGTTCTTTTGGGCCCTGTCCTCACAACATGATTTACTGGGTCAAGGGATGGAGATTTAGGGTGTTGTGGGAATACCCATAGAGGGTTAATGAGGGAGTAAAATTGAGCTCAAAACTGACTCAGGGTTGATCCACACAACCAGCTTGCCCTGGGGCAAGTATGGACCGTTGACTGTTTCCTGAGAGCAGATATGCAGAGTGTTGTCCAGCCCTCAGCCCCACCTGCACCCCATCCATTTTTTTCAGCTGTGCTTTGAAAACAGTTTGTCTTGTGCCAGATCTGGGGGTCTGTCCAGGTCACCTGCTGCGCTTCATTTCATGGTAGGCAAAGATCTCTGCACTATTTGGCACCCTGGCAGGAAGGCTCCTTCCCCTCTGCTCCCGATGTTTCTTTCTGCAAGTTCACGGATGGACTTTTTCGGTTTTTTAAGCCTGACAAAATCAGTAAGAGTTCTGTCTTTTTCCCTTTCTAGCCCAAGCCACAGAAAAACAGTCAAACCCTGTTTTGTTTTTTTCCAGTCCAGGAGGGGTCAAGAAGCAGGGGAATTCACTGAGTCAGGAGCCTTCTAGTAGCCATTAGTGTGGTCAAAGGGGAAGAAAGGACTTAAATCTGGAAAGTAATTTCTTGAGCTGGCTTCATTTCCAGCCAGTTTAAGCATGGGAGACAAGCACCTGAGGCCCCAGTGTGAAAAAGCCCTCAGTCATGCCCTGGGTTGGACTAATTCCTCCCACTCAGTCATGGGAATGCTGAACGGAAGTCTGTTGACCTCTTTCGTCTCTGTAGTCCTCCAAGAAAGAGAGCTGGAAAGAAAAAGAAGAAACAGGAGCCTGTCCATCACAGAACTCACTGCCAAGGCCTGGCAGCACAAGGCACACCTTCAAGCACTGATTGGCTGGAGCAGCCAAGCCAAGGCAGCCAATGGGGAAGAGGCTGAGATGTCAGGTGCCTCCTTACTGGAAAGGCTGTCAAAACTGCAGGCGTTTCCCACAGGAAGGGACAATGTTCGTGTAACTCCAGAGTTAACCCATTTGACTCAGCTAAGGGTGATTGTGGTGCCAGAGCCAGCTGCTTAGGGACACATTAGGGCTGCGCACACTTCCAAATGGATTCGAGAGAAGCACTTTGGGCTCCCACAAACCTGGCACCTTCAGAGTTGCCTTCGCTGTAAAGCAGCACAAATTTTGTTCAGGGTTGCACAGAAGTCTGAAAAAAGTCAGGCTCCTTTCATGAAGAGCAGAGAGGGAGGGTGCCCCTTTGGGGGGATTTTTTTTCAGAGCCTGCACACCCGGGCCTGTTATGCACAACCTACCTTCCCCCCATATGAGGGATTGATCGAAAGGAAGTCGAAGTGGAGATTTGGAGAGCAGACACCTCTCTCCAAAAGGCTTGGGGACTTTTCATAACCAACATACGAGAAGCTGAGCTAGGATTTGCGCTGCCCGTCAGGAAAGGTTCCACTCCCACTTCCGAGGGACACAAGGATGGTTCACAAGCAAACTCAGAAGCCCTTAGAGGCAGCGTACAGGATATGCGTGTGTATGTCAAAAAAGTCAAGAGGGTGGCTGTGACCATGAGATCAAAGCCCCACCCCTTTTCCATGTGCAACAGTCCTCAAAAAGGGGTAGGGCTTCCATTGCACAGTCACAATCGCATCTTGATTTTTTGGGCCCCCTCCACGGATGCCTCAAATTATATTGGGAAATGGCAGCAGAAATATGTTTGAGAAGGTGCCACCCTCTTTGTATCCTTGTTCAGGGCTTTCTTCTGGATTTCTTAAAAGTACCTGCAGATCCTAGGGGGAGCCTATTTATTTTTATTGATACATGCCTTTCTTTTATAAAACATTAAAGTCCTTCTTCTTCCTTTTTTCCTTTTCCTTTCTTTGCTTTAGCCCTACCAACATTCCTCATTTCAGTCCAATCCTAGGTGTCTACTATTGGGGGAAGGAGGGACGAGTGACAACTGTGCACTGCAATGTCCTAACGCCAATTCTGTGACTTAGGGATATGGGTCTGACATCAGGATGTCAGTAGGAAAGGTGAGGTTTGGGCTGACGTGTTGCAACTCCTGCGTGGGAGGCTCTGGGCAGGCTAGGAAAGGAATGGAAGAGGTCACAGACATAAAGAATCAAGAGGTAGAGGAAGAGTCTCATAAACGACAACTCTGCAAAGGTGGCGAGAAATCTGGACAGAAGCATTTCCAATCATTTGAAGAGACTCTGACTTAAGGAACACACTGTAAGTAAAGGTTGGCAATTCTTCTTGCAGTTTCCAAGCTTCCTTTCGTTACCCTAGACTAGCATAAAGATCCCTTCCTGAAATCTGTGTAATTTGCTGCCTTGGTCTTTCCCAGCCGTGTGAGGCTTGACACGTCGTGTATCCAGCTCCTTTTTCACTAAATTATGGCCATTTTTTTGACTACTGTACAGCACACAGCAAACAGCTGTAGAAAACTCAGTGTGAAAAAGCTGCCCAGCATTTGTAAGTTATGGACACATTGGAGATACATCAATTGAACAGAAAATGACATTTTTTATTTTTAGTTAAGAAAGAATCTCTCTGCTCCCCACCCCAGGAAAAAAAAAATTAAAAAGGCAAAGTCTTCCAGCACTTCAGGACTGGTGGAAACAGACTTGAGTCTCTTTTGGGAAAGAATTAACAGGTGCACAGATTTGAGAAGAAAAAGAAGGGGGCTGCCTTGTTCCTGAAAGTCATGCTCCTCCTTAGCTTCCAGGCAGCTGGCTTTGTTACTCTTTCCAAGCACGCGAAAGCTATTTCTGGCTGATCCTTATGCTTTATATATTTCCTTGATATTGATCTGTCATGGAGGAAAAGTTATAAAAAAGTGTTGGAGGTTAAGATCTACTGGTAAAAACCAAAAAGTTTAGGGTACATGAGGTAGAACACCCAGATGACGTATCCCCCTTCCCATCTTGCACACACACAAACTCCAACAGACAGATTGTTATCCTGAAAGAAGCCAGAGAAGGACATACGTGCTTGCCTTCTTTCACTGTGATAAAGTAGGAAAGTACTCCGAAGCTGCTCTGTTCAAAGCCTGGTGTCCAATTTCACTTGTAAAAATGAAAATCACAGCTGGACATCAGCAAAAATGTCCTAAAGGTAAGAGCTATTTGGGAGATGGTGGACTCTCTTTCTCTGGGAGTGTTTGAACAGAGGCTGGATGGCCACCTATCAAGGATGTTGTACTAGATAAGGCAGTGTTGTCCAAACTTGGCCACTTTAAGATGAGTGGACTTCGACTCCCA